ATGATAGTACACAGGATCTAACTTAGTGCCAAAAGATATGCAAAGAGTACATCCGGACAATTGTTTCCCAGGACAAAGAGCAAACTTCCGAGAAGCGTTTCTAGTACCTAGTCAACCGACACTTAGCCTTGATCACCACCCGCACCCTCCTAGGCATGTTATCTACGAGGTTAGTGCAAACCTTTACAGCGATCTTCTCACACTCTTCTTGGACCCACGCTTTTGCATAAGGGGGTGAGCACTAGGAAAATCAAGAAGGATTTGAGCGTACGCAAGAGTATTGTGCACGATTTCATATTGAATGTTATCTCTAAGACTAGCCACGCTGAGGTGTGGCCAAAGATGCCATAAGTCGATTGGTCGTGTCTTATCATGGATCGTCTTTGTCATACCGTTGTAGGTAAAAATTTATGAGCAGAGTGGCGAAAACTAGCGTATCTGCCACGAAACTTAGGGTAACATAGCACGGTCGACTGTGCATCCTTGCACTATTAGAATCGCACTAGGATCCGTAGGCCTTGTTACGGTGCAGCAGTCGAAGAAGTCGCGACTGTTCAGAAAGAATATCCGGGTTGAGATCTGGTGAGGAAAAGGGTCACTCCAACGTAACATACTCATGTTGTCCAAGCCGTTCTAAGCCGTGTGTCCCGCCTAGGCTTGGAATGGCTCGGAGAGCATGATTTTGTAGCAGTGAAGTGACCCTCTTCCTCACCAGACCTGAACCCGGATATTTTTCCCCACCAGACGGGGCTTCTTCGACTACTGAACCGTGACGAGACCCATAGATTTTAACGTGATTCTATTAATGAAAGGGTGCACAGTCGACCGTGCTATGTTACCCTAAGTTTCGTGGCGGACACGCTGGTTTTCGCCACTCTGCTTGTAATTTTACCCTACAATGGTACGACGAAGACAAGTCATGATAAGATGGGACCAATTAACTTATGACATCTTTGGCCACACCTCAGCATTGCTATTCTCAGATAACATTCAACATGAAATCGTGCACAGTACTCTTGCATACGTTCAAATACTTCGCGATTTTCCTTGTGCTCACCCCCTTATGCAAAAGGGTGGGTCCAGGAAGAGTGCGAGAAGATCGCTATAAAGGTTTGCACTAACCTCGTAGATAGCATGCCTAGGAGGGTGCTGGTGGTTATCAAGGCCAAGTGTTGGTGGACTAGGTACTAGAAACGCTGCTCGGAAGTTTGCTCTTTGTCCTGGGAAACAATTGTCCGGATGTACTCTTTGTATATCTTTTGGCACTAAGTTAGATCCAGTGTACTATTATGGAATTTAGCGCTGTGAACACATCCATTATATGCCCATCCCAAAGCGTACCACCATTAAATATAAAGACTTTATGTGTAGTGGTCGGAAAGCTAAAAAACCCTAATTAATGCAAAACATCTGGACAATTGTTTCCGTCACTGTAGTTGGTGTCGGGTGTCTTCACGACCTCGACGTCACCACTACGTTCCCTGGACACGAGCGGTACGTGGTCTGTACCGAGGCCACCACTGGTGCCCCTCTGACCACGTTCCCCCCGAACCCTGTGTCTAGCCTATTTACGCTTGACACTGCGTCCCCCTCGATGAGGGCGTCCCCCCAGGCTGCTGCGGCTTGCTCGTGTCGGTCGCTCACTCACCTGTCGCTTCTGTAACCCCACTGCCTAGGTCACCCTGCACTCCAGCGTCTACGTCACATGTCCCATCACGGTCTTGTCTTCGAACTCCCTGCGTCGCTCTGTACTCTTCCTCCCTCGCCTGCCCCGCCGTGCACGCCTTGCGTTGAGGGCCGGTTGCTCCGTGCTCCTCACTCCTCCTCGCTTCCCCCTACCACTGCTCCACTCCAGACCCTGGATTTGGACGTTAGGGGCCCAGCCCCCATCCCTGGGCTGTGTCGACGACTACATGCGCTACACCACGGTGTTTCCCCTAGAGCGGAAGGCCGACGTGCCTGGCGTTCTTATCCCACGGGTCATAGTTGCACCAGTCTACCGCGACCTCCTGGTGCTGCGTCTTCACTCTGACCGTGGCGGCGAGTTCGCCTCTGGTCGGCTTGGCTAGTTCTGTCATGCGGAGGGCATCACCCAGTCGTACACCCTGTCGTACACCCTGTCGGACTCCCCGAAGCAGAATGGGGTCACTGAGCAACGCATCGGTTTGGTCATGGAGGTGGCTTGTACCTCCATCATCCATGCCGGTGCACCCCATTTTCTGTGGCCCTTCGCTGTTCGCTACGCCGCTCACCAGCTTAATCTGTGGCCGCACTCCCATCGGCCGCAGGTTTCGCCGACCCTCCTCTGGACCGGGTTCCCTGGTGATGCGTCTGTGTTCCACGTCTAGGGCTGCCTTGCTCACGGTCGTGCCTCTAGCACGGACAAGCTCACTGCTCGCACTGTCCCCTATGTCTTCCTTGGTCTCACCGCTTCTTTCACTCGCGCGACGTCACTTTTGACGAGTCCGTCTCCTTCTACCACCGCTTTCCCCACCGAGGTCTCCCGGTGTCTCAGCTCGTGTTTCTGGTTCCCACTCCCCCGGTAGCCCCTGCTCCTCTCCCTCCCCATCCTGCCCCGTCTGGTGTGTATCACGTTACTCCCCTCCCGTCGGCTATCCCGGTTGAGGAGTCGGTTGACTCTGGTGGCCCCGCGGCGCCGTTCTCGCCGCCTTGCTGCGTCCCGGTGTCTCCTCCTCCACCGTCGCCGCAACAGCAGCAGCCGCCGTAGGGGTCCACGAGCTCTAGGGGTGCGGGCGTTGAGGAGGGTGCTAGTTCTGAGGTTCCTGTCGTGGCTTGTCCCGGCGGTCCTGGGGGTGGCACCGGTGCTGGAGGGGGTTCTCGTTCTGGGGGTGCTGGTTATGGGGGTGTTAGTCCTGGGGTTATTGTTGTGGCTCGTCCTGACGGTCTTGGGGGTGGCACCGGTGTTGGAGAGGGTTCTCGCTCTGGGGGTGTTCTTGTGGAGGGTCCTGGAGGTAGTCGTGGTGCAGCTTGAGGTTCAGGTGTCAGCACAAAACAGCAGCAGCAGGAGTCGCCGCCGGTGTCTGCCCTTCGCCTCCTCGGTCTTCCCTCCCCTGACCACCAGCCTACGCCTCCCCCGCCGCCACCTCCCCTGCCTGTCTATGACCCTCTCTTTTCTCCAGCGAACTCGTCTCCGGCTAGTCTCCCCCCTCGTTCTCCTCCTGTTTCTCCTCCTGTGTCTCCTGACCCGACGCCTCCGTCCCACTTCTGGTCTCGTCGTCCCTCTCGCGCTCGTCCTGTCTCCCCTGTTCAGCGCTCTCACCCTATGTTGCTTCGTTCCCACGCGTCTCGCCCTCCCCTCCTCCCATCGCCTCCTCAATCGTCGCTTGTTGTCGCTCCGTCTCCTCTGTCTGACTACCTTCGTGCTGCTAGACCTCTTATTCCTCGGGTCCTTGCCTCCCTCGTTACCGACCCGTCTGTTCCTGACTCGAGTCTTCACGCGCTTGTCGCTTGCGTCACTGACTTCGCATCTACCTGCCGCCTTGATGACGCCACCGTTCCGGTCTCTGACCATGTCCGTCCTCCGTCCGTCGGGGGTGCTCCTGCCCTTGGCACTGACGTCCTGGAGGACCGGCAGTGTGAGCTTGCTTTCCTGTCCAAGGTCGCGCCTCATCTCTGCTCCATGCTGCTAGTCCTTGAGGGTGATCCAGACACCTTTGACATCCCGTCCCCTTGCACTTACGCTGAGGCGACCTCGGGACCCTGGGCCTCTCAGTGGATAGCTGCCATGGACGCAGAGATGGCATCTTGGAGATCCACTGGCAGCTGCGTCGACGCAGTTCTCCCACCTGAGATGAACGAAGTCAATGGCCGGTGGATCTTCAAGGTAAAGCGCCCTCCTGGAGAGCGTTCGGTGTTCAAGGCGCGCTACATTGCTAGAGGCTTCAGTCAGCGCGAGGGTGTTGACTTCTTCCAGACCTTCGCTTCGACCCCGAAGATGACCACTCTTTGGGCGCTGCTACATGTAGCAACAGAGCGTGACTACGAGCTGCACTCTCTTGACTTCTCGACAGCGTTTCTTCAGGGCAGTCTACACGAGCAGGTCTACCTTCGTCGCTTGCTAGGCTTCACCGGTACCTTCCCCTCGGGGACCCAGTGGCTCCTTCGACGCCCGGTTTACGGCCTGCGGCAGGCGCCTCGAGAGTGGCACGACACTCTTCGTGCTACGTTAGCTGACCTGCAATTCTTCCCATCCTCTGCAGACCCTTCGCTGTTTGTTCGTTCAGGCCAGACTCCGCTCTACATCCCTGTCTACGCAAACGATCTGGACTTTGCTTCTGCAGACAAAGACGCGCTGACCTCAGTGAAGGCTGAGCTACTGAGGAGACACACCTGCACTGACCTGGGAGAGCTGTTACGCTAACTTGGCCTGCAGATATCTAGGGACAGAGCAGCGCGTCCCATCACTCTCACACAGTCACACTTGGTGCGCCAGGTCCTTTAGAGGTTCGGTCTTCAGTTCTCCTCTACACAGCACACACCTCTGCTAGTAGATTACAGGCTCTCGGCTCCAGTCCCTGAGGGGTTTGTAGAGCCTAGTGGTCCATACGCAGAGCTGGTGGGTTGCCTCATGATCCTCCTGTGTCAGGAGCCTGGAGGGTAGAGCGAAGCACATCCAGCTGCGGTACTTCCTTGTGCGCGAGCTACAGCAGCGCCGCCAGGCTTGCGTAGTACACTTGGCCTCCGGTGCCAACATAGCTGATATCTTTACGAAGGCGCTTGCGCCTAAAGATCATCAGCGGCACTGTGTACAGCTTGGTCTAGTTCCTGCTGCTTCTCACTTACTAGGACCTTGATATATATTTTCATTTATATGATCTTGAATGACCTTGTGGCTCTTGTTCCAGTGGTTGGACTAGTAGTGCCACCCTGTGTTACTCTTGTTTAGGTTGTACTCTTGCTGACTGGTCTTTGAACCCCTGCCTCAGAGGTTGGACTAGTAGTGCCACCTTGAGCTGTGTCTCTTGCCAGGCACTACCTTTCGTCTAGCCTAGGGGGTGTGTCAAACATATTTGTATATGTCTTATAGGCTAGATAGGCGCGTACTCTTAGAGGGTACAACCCCTTTGACAAAACCACCATGTTTCCCTCATTCTAGTTAATCTCTCTACGCTAACATTCACAACTCACCACCACTACGGCCACCACCATCTCTACCACCAGCCCCAGCCGGTGGATAGCACCACAAGCACCCCTAGTGCCTCGAGCAAAGCAGTTCAAGATTGTGGCGGCCTCTCCTCCCCCACTGACCAGATCGCTGCCATTTTCTGCGAACACAGCACCTGGCAGGTGGGAGGGGGGGGGGGGGGGGGGTTTGGGGAGAAGAAGATACGGGAGGAGCAAAACAATCGATCCCCCATCAGCATTTACAAGGCAGTTCAAGATTGAGATGGCCGCTCCCCCCCCCACCACCGTCAACCAGATCGCCACCGTTTTCTGAGCACATAGCACAATCAAGCAAAGCACTCAAACATTATGAGCACGCAGCACCTGGCAGGTGGGAAGGGGTGCGGGGGAAGCGAAGTGGGAAGTAAGGGTACGGGAGGAGCGAGACGGTTCCCTCCCATTGGCATCCACAATGCAGATGAAGATTGAGATGGTGGGAAGTGGGAAAAAGGAATACGGGAGGAGCGAGTCTAGTTTTGAGGTGCCTCTAAATACGGGAGGAGCCAGACGGTTTCCCACTGGTATTCACAAAGCAGATCAAGATTGAGATGGCCGCTCCTCCCTCACCACTGGCGACCAGATCGCTGCCATTTACTGCACCCACAGCACCTGGCAGATGGGAAGGGGTGGGGGGGGCGGGGCCGGTGGGGAGGGAGAGGGTAGGGTAGACTGGTACAGGAAGAGCGAGATAAGACAGTGAAAAAAAGAGACAGGAAGGGGAAATGCGATGGGAGCAGAAGAAGAGAAGGAGGGCGGAGGCGGGACCAGCACACTGCAACCATTCTAATAGACCAGTGCACAACAACAGAAAGAAAAGAGCAGAGAAGAACACAGAAAAAGAAAGCGGACAGAACTGCAAACAGACCTGGTCTTGCACAAAGTTGCCGAGCATTGAGAGAAACTCCTGCTTCCGCTCGCTCTCAAAGCGCTGCAGCTCCGAGGAATTGCGCTCCTGGGGGCCAAGGGGGTGGGGCGTGGGTGGGGGGTTCGGGGGGGAATGTGAGCAGGCGAACAGGGCTAGTCACAGGACCTCCTGCTTCCGCTCGCTCTCAAAGTGCTGCAGCTCCGAGGAATTGCGCGTGGGCATGGAGGGATAGGAGCAGGGAACAGAAGGCAGGAGGGACCGCTTAATTGAATCACTTAATTCACAGCTAGAATTAAGTGAGGGGTGTGGTGGAGGAGGAGAAGGAATGATAGACGCAACTGAGGGGGCACACACACCCATTGAGGTGTATTTTGAGTCGACTCAAAATACACATGAAAGAGGCAACTGAGGGGGCACACACACCAGTTGCAGCTCCAAGCGATCCAATGCTCATTGGGGGGAAGAGGGGGGGACCTCCCAAGTGTGCGGGGTTTGTACGAAAGGCCCAAGGAATGTTTGAAGGGACAGTCGGACTCACAGTGATCTTCTTGTACTCGTTACTAGCAGCCTCCTTAGCCTTCTCCAGAGCCTGAATCTCCCTCTGCAGCTCCTGGGCTTTCTTCTGCTTAGCAGGATCCGATCCGTCCACCGACCCCAGCCGGTCCAGCTTTGTCTTCTTGCCGCCCAGATCGCCCTCCAGAGTCTGCCACGTCAGCAGCGCCTGGGATCGCTCGGCGAGCGCCGTCCGGGCGGCAGCCGTTGTCTTGTGGTACTCTAGGAGAATTGACTGAGGGGGGAAGGGGGACAGGGGCGTTTGGGGGAAAAGGGGGGCCGGGGGGGTGGGGGGGGGAGGAGGGGGGGGGAGGGAAGAGAGGGGAGGAGAGTACAGGAATGGCGAGAGTCCAAAAACGTTTTCTAACCACATCGGTGCATTGCAGAGCAAGAGGACCACGACACTTGACCTATCTCACTAGAGCGCGCCCGTCTCACTAGAGCACGCCTGTCTCACTCGAGCGCGCCCGTCTCACTAGCGTGTGACCGTTTTAATAGGGCACATCAGTGCCACTAAAGTGTCTGCGTCTCGTTTGAGTGCACTAGAGCGGTCTACACCATGCCCATGCCCACACACTAACACTCATACGTCCATCACTGCATCTTCATCTCGCCACACCATAGGAGTCTAGTTTTGAGGCGCCTCAAAACTATACGTTCATCACTGCAACTTGATCACACCACACCATGACTTAGTTCCTTTCTTTATTTCTCTCCACCACACCATGACTGTAGTTCGTTTCTTTCTTTCTCTCCACCACACCATGACTTAGTTCCTTTCTTTGTTTCTCTCCACCACACCATGACTTAGTTCCTTTCTTTCTTTCTCTCCACCACACCATGGGTCAGCCGAGCGCTCCGAACGATGCTCTTTTTTGCACTTATGCTAAAAAACGACTGTTAACTACACTGAAGCTGGCTCTCTCCTCTCTCTCTCCTAAACGCAATCTCGCCCTACGGACTTCGTTTTGTTGTGCCGACCAACAGCCTTCATGGATATAAGACCTCCGCAGCCCACCTGGAATCCATCTGAGGCCACCACCCCATGAGACAGCTGACCGCCCCGAACCATACCCTTCCACTCGTGCTAAAGAAATCAGGATCGTTCTAATGAACCAACCTCAGGTCCTCAGGCCCCCAGTGCACCCAGTGCACCCACCCACGAACTCACCAGCGTAGTTTTGAGGCGCCTCAAAACTCACCAGCGTGCTTTTATTCCTCTCCACCACGCCGTGTGAGAGCTGCGCGCTGCGCACCATGCCCTTGCCCACGCTCTGACACTCCCCCACAAACGCCCGCTCCTTCTGCCCTCCGCCCACATCCCCCCCTCCTCCTGCTGCTGCTGCTGCTGCTGCTGCTGCTGGTGCTCCCACACCCCCTGCCGCCACTGTATTGCCTCCTTCCCCTCCCCCTCCCCCTCCGCCTCCCCCTCCGCCTCCGCCTCCCCCTCCCCCTGCTCCTCCCCCAATCCCCCCCTCCCCCAGCCGCTGCGCCTGCAGCTTAGCCAGGGACCCAAACGTGATCCCCAGCGACCCAATGATGCGGCTGCTGCCGTCCTGAGCCTGCATCATCTGCACCGCACCTGCTCACACAAACCACCCAGGGAGCAAAGCAAAGCAAAGACTCGGGTCATTCCACCCTCCCCCGGCATCTGCGCCTGCAGCTTAGCCAGGGACCCGAACGTGATCCCCAGCAACCCAATGATGTGGCTACAGCTGTCCTGCGCCTGCACCATCTGCACCGCACCTGCTGTAGCCTCGGCAAGGTGCTTGTCCAGGTCTGCCAGCTTGGTTCGGGCCGAACTAAACCGGAACTCGTCTGCCTCGACCTCCGCTGCGGTCGGCGCCGTTTGTATTTTTCCTCCTGTTTCTGCTAAGGCTGTTTCTCCTCCCACCCCTCCTCCCAGACCCCCCCTCATTGCACCTCCTGCTCCTGCTTCTGCTCCTGCTTCCAATGCTGACGTGGACGATCCTGCTGCTGACGTGGAACCGCTGACAGCTGGCGGTTTCCCCGTCCAATCATTCGCCACGGACTGCCCAAACTCTTTGAACATTCTGAGAAGGTTCCGCCCCCCACCGGCCGGTTTGGCAGCTTCTGCCGGTGTGATGGAGTCTGCCGAGCCAAACAGCTGCTGGGGAAGCTTCACGGCACCTTCCAGCACGCGGGAAGCCAGGTCTACAGACGAGGCGGGCTGAAACTTATCGGATGACGTCAGGAAGGAGATGAGGTCCTCGCTCCTGAGGGGGTGGAAAGTGGGGGGGGGGGGGGGAGGGGGGGAATAGGGGGAGAGGAGAGTATGAGAGTGCAGAGGGGATCAGGCTGAAACGTGTCGGAAGATGTCAGAAAGGAGATCGGGTCCTCGCTCCTGGGGGGAGGGTTAAGGGGTAAAGGGGGAAAGCAGTCACCAAGAAGGGGATCTTAGCACAGGCTTGTCGAATGACGTCAGAAAGGAGATTGGATCCTCGCTCCTGGGGAGGTAGAGGGGGGAGCGCGGGAAGGGAGGGAGGGGGGGGGGGGGGGTTCATGAGGGGGTGGCGAGAGTATGAGATTGCAGAGGGGGGGAGAGGGAACAGGGGGGGGAACTTGTCGGATGAACTTGTTGGATGAACTTGTCAGAAAAGGTTCTTGCTCCAGGGGGCAGACGCTTGGGGGAAAGTGGTGGGTTGAAGGGGACTTGAGCAGGAGGATCCACGCCTTCTGTGATATGCTTTTGAGAATTCTCAGAAACCTATTGCACCATTTTCTTTCACCACCCCACTGCTTTCACCCACAGCAGGAGAATACGAGGATGTGCCAGGTGTAAGCCAGGTGAAAACGAGAATGCCCGGTACAGTTCCTCCTGTTCACCTGGCTTACACCTGGCTTTCATCTGGCTTTCATCTGGCTTTCATCTGGCTTTCATCTGGCGTACACCTGGCTTCCACCTGGCTTCCAAGCACATGCAGCAAGCAAGCGCCTCTCTTACTGTTCCACGTACCTACTTCTGCGTCAACTCCAAAGCAGAATGCATGCGGCAGGCCGCTAGGTTTTCGACTGAATCGTCACCTCAAGCGCATTTTGACATTCCTCAAGTACCGCTTAACCACAAATCGGCAGGTTGCCTTACTTGCGAATGGAAGGGTGCCGCGCCAGCTGCTGCACATACTTATCCAGCTCCACCTGCCGCGTTTTCAAAAACTCAAGCCCCTACAGGAGCTATCTAGCACATCCAGAACGCGTTTCCCTTACTTGCTATTAGAAGGGTGCCGCGCCAGCCGCTGCACGTACTTATCCAGCTCCACCTGCCCCTGACGCCCTCAGCCCTAAGCCCATACAAAGCCCCGTACAAAGCAAGTGTCTCTCCCTGTCTTCCTTGCGAATGGAAGGGTGCCGCGTTTGAGTCGACTCAAAAGCAGACTCATTACCCGCGGTTTTTACATTGACAAAGCCCCGTACAAAGCAAGTGCCTCTCCCTGCCTTGGTTGCGAATGGAAGGGTGCCGCGTCAGCCGCTGCACGTATTTGCCCAGCTCCACCTGCCCTTAACGCCCTTAGTCCTAAGCCCCTACAAAGCCCCGTCCAAAGCAAGTGTCTCTCCCTGTCTTACTTGCGAATAGAGGGGTGCCGCGCCAGGCGCTGCATGTATTTGTCCAGCTCCACCTGCCGCGTTTTCACAAACTCCGGTCCGTGCAGCACCTGGCTCTCCACCACGTTCTTGTCGGGCCGCATGGGAATGAAGTAGCCTCGGTGCGTCTCTGCTAGTCTAGATATGTGAGGAAAACACGGAAGGGAGGAAACCCGGGGGGGGGGGGGGGGGGGGGGTAAGGGGGCTTGAGTCAGCGGTGCTCCGTGCAGCACCTGGCTCTCCACCACGTTCTTGTCGGGCCGCATGGGGATGAAGTACCCGCGATAAGTCTCCGCTAGTCTGGGGTTTGGGGTCAAGACGAGGAAGTAGGAAGGAAGAGAGCCGAGAGGAATGTTTTTTCAGTCAACCCCGGTCTGTGCATCACCTGGCTCTCCACCACGTTCTTGTCGGGCCGCATGGGGATGAAGTAGCCTCGATGAGTCTTCGCTAGTCTGGGATATGGAGGTAGAGTGAGGGAAGCGGAAAGGAAGGAAGGCTAGTCTGGTTTGAGTCGACTCCGGTCCGTGCATCACCTGGCTGGCTCTCCTCTCCACCACGTTCTTGTCGGAGCGCATGGGGATGAAGAGGCCTGGACTAGTTGGTGGCCAGACGGGGGTGGAATCCCCTCTGGTGACAAGAAACAGATGGGCAGAGGAACTTGCGGTTGGGGGGGCGGTAATCTGGTTTTGAGACGAGAGAAAGTCTGAGTCGACTAAAAAATCGACTCATTAGACACTTGTGGTTGGGGGGGCGGTAATCTGGTTTTGAGAAGAGAGAATTTTTGAGTCGACTCAAAAATCGACTCATTACACACTTGTGGTTGGGGGGGCGGTAATCTGGTTCTGAGACGAGAGAAACGACATCATCTGGTACATCAGGACGAAAGTGCCGCCCCAACCGCAGGTTCTCAAAATGAGTTTTGAGGCGCCTAAAAAATCAGGACGAAACTATTGCCCCAGCCACAGCTTCTTAGAATGAGATTAACTTGTGGTTGGGGCGTCTGTTCTTGAGGCGCCTCAAAGAAAGATACATCAAGACGAAACTGTCGCCCCAACCACAGATCTTAAAAATGAGAGGAACTTGTGGTTGGGTGGGGCGCCATGTGCCTGACGCGAGTCTGAAACAACGTGAAGCCATGTAGCTGCACGTGCTCTCTTGTCTGACACGAGACAAGAGCTGCATACGGATTGGTACCTCGCAAACGTCTAACTAGCACTCCACGGTCCACCAGAACACCAGAAAAACGAAACTTCCTGCTCACACGGGGGAAATGTTTCTCACACGTCTGCCTGAGCCACCAACATTTCTCCCGTACCTGTCCGTCTAAGCTCCCACTAACCTGTCAGCCAGGGCGACAAATTCGCGGAATCTTCTCTCCACGCGGGCAGATCGGGCCCCGTATTCAGGCACATTCGTCTTCGTTTCAATCACATACGCCACGTAAGAGCCCCCTCCGGGAATCATGGAGCCGCCGGACTCCTGCAGCTTCTTAAAGCTCACCACTCTCACGTCAATAAAATCGGCCGGCATCTCCTGTCCTTTTGCGCCGGCAGCGCCGCCGGTTCCGCCACCCACTTGTGCTGCTGCTGCGCCGCCCAGTGGCCCCGCAAGAGCCGCCGCATTTGCCGCCGCTGCTGCCGTTTCTATTCCCTCACCCCCACCAGGAAACCCAGCGCCGGAAATTCCGCCGTGGACGTGGACGTCGGCGCCACTTGCGGGCATGCCAAGGCCGAAATCCGAAGCTCCTAACCCGCCTGATCCGGATAAGCCTAGCCCGGAAAATAACTCGCTGGTGCTGACGTCACCGACACGTGGCGCTTGCAGGGCCTCGTGGTAAGGCGGGGGCGCGGCATCTAAGCCCACGTCAGGAAACCCGCCAAACGCGGAGGATGACACGGGGGATGGATCCGTGGGAAGGGGAGGCGGGTTCCAGGATTGGGCGAGAGGATCTGACGTGTAAAACTGCGACGAGCTGGAGGATAAGATGCTGCTGTAATCTGGGACCGCGCCAGGTGGCATGCCACGTGTCAGATGTGGATCGGGCGGATTGAGCATCAGGCTCTCCATGCCGTCCATTGATTCGTCCAAGGCATGGTTATCGTCAGCTGACGAGCCGGGGAAATTCATCATTTCGAGCCTGGTGCTACTGGTTCTTGCCACGTGGCAAGAACAGATTCGTGAAGACACTAAAAGATTGGAGAGTCAAGATCCCCAACGAATCAGCGATAAAAGTCGGTGAAACGATTCTGATGTTCAGTGAGCGACCGCGAAGGTAGGCGATAATCCTAGCGTAGTCAAAAGTTCGGAATAACTACTAGTCTTATCATACTACGAATCTCGAAGAATGGCCCACCATGTGGCGGCCGAGCTAGAGCTGTCTGATAACAGCCGCTTTGGGAATCTGCTAGCGATGCGAGTCGAGGCGGTGAAGATATGGCAAGTACGAATGTTGGTCAGCATCCCAACCCCTAGGAGCATTGAAGGGAAGAATTTGGATTTGGAGCATCGAAGGATCCACCTAGGCGAGACGGTATCGTAGGTGGAATGGAATGCTCAGTACTATTTGAAACACTATTTGAAATGCTCAGTACCACCAGTACAAAGTCTGCAGCCCCTTACAAGAAAACGAAACAGCGTCAGTAGAATCACAACGAATTGAGACTTGGGGTGTTTCCCTGCATCTCGACCTCTTTACTGCCGTAACCTGATTCTGGTGCAGCATCCATTCCAGACACAGAGCGCCCTTCTATAAAGAAAATCATTGTATGGTCCACAGACCAGAAACTAGGCATCTTGCAAACTGAAGTCAACAAGGTGTTGAATCTGCTTACTTCTCCCCATCAATAGCAGCTGTTGCTAGCTTATCTGCAGCTTCTTTCACAGCAGCCGCTGTCCCTTCTGCTGCTGCTGCTGCTGCTGGGGCTTCTGCTTTCTTTCCTCCACCCCCCTTCTCCTTTTTCCCACCTGCCTTGGCAGCTTTCTTTTCCGCCGGTGCACTAGGGGGGCTGTTTACAAAGGGGATGAAATCCACACCCATCATGAAGGGGCGAAGGACCTCTGGCACGGTGACACCTGTCTCCGTCTGATAGGTCTCGAGGATGCAGCAGATGGTGCGCTCTGTGGCAGTCAGGGTGCTGTTGAGCAGGTGGCCGTAGTGCTTCGTTGTCTCGTTCATCTGCAGGAGAGAAGGGAGACGCAAGGGCATGCATGTGTGAGAGAGGCCAAAAGGGGCCAAGCAGCAGAGACAAGTCTGTACGTATCAATGCAATCTCACAGGGAGCCCATCTCACACTGCGGAGCACATAAACACTGTTGGCAGTAGCCAAACGCACCTGCTTCTTCCCCCATCTATCTCCAGCCTTCGGGTCTGGTAGTCCATGCAGTTGGAACAGTCCAGCCTTCTCGAAAGGTCTTGCAGCAACTGACAGCTGTCATCTCATGCTACCGCATGCAGCCACACCCACCAGAGCAGCCCCTGACACACCTTCTTCTGGCCGTATCTGATCTCCAGGCGCCTGGCCTGGTAATCCGTGCAGTTGGAGCAGGACACGAGCTCGCGGAAGGTTTTGGACGCTGGGAACCACGCCTCCAGGTCATACTTCTTGGCCGCCGAGTCGTTGAGCGCACCAGAGACAATGGCCACCACACGGTAGGGCAGGCCCAGCTGGAATGGTTGGAATGCAGCAGGGAGAGAGGCAAGCGCAAGGAGAGTGGGAGAAATGGAGGAGAAATGGAGGGTGAAACTGGCCACAACCGGTAGGTCAGGCCCAGCCGGGATGGCACCAAGGGGAGAAGAGGAGGGAGTTGCATATGGGACAGGGAGAGAACACGCGGGAACCAAAGGCTTTGGCAAAACAGTAGGGCGGGCACAGCTGGGATTGCACCAGGAGGCAGGAGGGACGCGCTCAGGGGGCATGAAGAATGGAAGCATAAATGAGGGATCTAGAGCAGCACAAGCACTAGAGAGAGGGGGAGGGAGATAGAGAGAGCGATCGAAGCACAAGCAAGCCCTCAGTTTCAGCCAGGTTTTTCCACATGTGTGCACAACCCCAAGGGGAGGACCCGCACCAGGCAAGCAGCCTCCGTTCCTCTCTCCCACACAGGAGTAAACGACAATGAACGGAGGCGGAATCATGATGGGCACAGGACAAAGGTACAGGCGGTGATGGTAATGCTCGTGGATGAGTGGCGGAAGCAACGGGGAGGAGGTGAGGAGGAGGGAACGGGAGAGGAGAGAGGGAGGTGCTGTGCCTGAGAGATCCGCCCCTTGGCACACGTCCTTCAGTGTGGTTAAGACAAGAATCATCATTGGGCTCTGCTGGTGCAACGTGCAAGGCACATAGATTAGAGGTTTAGAAATTGAGGTGCCTGTACGATTAGCATGCTTTGCAACAGTAAGTCCGAAGATCCTCCACCCTTGTGACCTCTACCCTCCCAGACCCACTTCCCTCCCGTCTACACACCTTATGGTAAAGTCCTCCGAGTTCTTGAGCATCTACCCATGCATCTCCCACGAGTCATTGCCACTGGGGCTAGTGAATCGACTTGCAGCCCCTCCTCTCGCTTCTAATATACCCCCCCCCCCCACACCCCACCCCGTCTACACTACCTTCTGGTAAAAGTCCTCCGAGTTCTTGAGCATCTCTTCGTGCATCTCCCACGAGTCATTGCCGTTGGGGCTGGTGATGGCGAACTGCTCGACCTTCTCAAACTGGTGGATGCGGAAAATGCCCAGCGTGTCGCGACCGTGCGACCCTGCCTCCTTGCGGAAACACGTGGAGTACCCCGCGTATCTGAGAGGGGGGTGAAGTGGGGGTTAAGGGGGGAACAACAGCATAAGGGTTAAAAAAAAAGCATTCAGCAACAAGGCAGCAGAAGAAAAAGGAAGGGAAGAATGGGAGATAGGGGCAGGCAAAGAATCACAGGAACGTGGGGCCCAGAAAAAGTGTCTGGCATTCAGAATCAAACATGATGGCCGGAGCAATTGGTTGTCCTCAGTATATATTAAGAGATGTTTTTCCGCACACTCCGTTGAACGGAGTTCAGCATTAGCATGGTATTTTGTGACATCACTGGACCGCCTGCCATGAGAATGACGCCTTAACACATGTAGCAGTTGAGCAGACGTGGCCATACAATGGAGAAAACAACTAGAGCGAAAGAAGGGAAGCGTGGGCGTGGGCCATATTAGGGGGAAAGAACGAGATTGAAGGAGGGGAAGCGTGGGCGAGCACCCTCAGAAAGAGAGTAAAATGAAAAGCGTCGTCTCCATGGCTGAGTCGGAATTAGCATGGATGGATAAAAGCTCATCACGGGGCACTCGTTACAGGGTGCTAGGTGCTCGTTACAGAGCCATCAAGCGTACACCAGTGGAGAAGGACTCTCCAGCAACAACTAGTAAGTCCTGTGAAGAGTCTACCACAGGCCAGTCATAAAGACCGACCCTCAGCATCAGAGCCGCTAACGTGGTCATGGTTCCCCAAAGGCGTTCTCAGAAAGAGAGTAAAAAAGATGTGCTGTCTCCATGTGACCCTAACGGGCGTCGGAATTAGCATGGTTTGAATAGCATCACGGAACGCCAATGGACTAATAAGCGAAAATATGATAGAGGACGGGAGGGGGGGGGGGGAACGGGGGAAGGGGAAAGCCGGGGGGGGGGAGGGGGGAGGGGGAAGACGGGGGTTGTGGGGAGAGCGAAAAAGAAGCGGGGACAAGGGGGAGAAAGATTTGGGCCTCACCTAAGAGGGAGAGCCTTGGGGTCGAGCCACTCCCCTCGGTGGTACGTGCAGAGAGGCTGCTCCGACGTGGCAATCAGGTACTTGTCCTCGCCCTCTCCCGACACCTGCGGGGGTGGATGGGATCGGATTCACGAGCGCACACAATAGACAGGAGACTACTGAGTCGGCTCGAACCTAACAGAGGCTGTGCCGACGTGGCAATCAGGTACTTGTCCTCGTCCTCGCCCTCTCCCGACACCTTCGCGGACTGAGAGCGAGATGCGCGCATACCGCCATGACTTCCTTGCGCACGAAGAAGGGTGTGTGGAGCGCATCGGCCAGTGAATTGCATGCACACCATATCGTGCTGCTAATGGATGTACCTTGTATAAATCCTCGTCCAACTGCGCGCGACGACGTACACCATACAAATCCTCGTCGAATCGAACTGCGCGAGCTGCGCGCGCTCCGCCATGACCTCTTTCCGCATGAAGAAGGGCGTGTGGAGCGGCGTGAACTGCCTCTGCTGCACAAAGTGCCTCCCCCTAAGCATACACACCAGATATCACCACTACTGTACCTTGTACAACTCTTCATCAAATTGCGCGAGCTGCGCGCACTCCGCCATGACCTCCTTGCGCATGAAAAAAGGCGTGTGGAGCGGCGTGAACTGCCGCTGCACGAGGAACGAGAGGCCGAAGCTGATGAGCGCCTGGTTCAGCATCACGCCCATGCCCTTGAGGTAGTACCCGCGGCCCCCGGCCGTGCTGGCGCCTGAGAGACAGAAGGGAGTGACGACCCCGGGAAGAGCGGGAAGGGAGAGAGACATGCGAGTAAGCATCAGTTCGGGAAACCAAGCAGCCAGCACCACGCAACTGGTTCATGTCTGCAACGTCCAACGCGTGCATCGAGTCCACATAACTGCAATCAAAGCGAAGAAAAACAATGTAGAATAGTCACTAGAAGTATAAGAACCCCAACGACGCACCTCTGTCCAGATCTGCAATGTCCAGCATATGGACCAGATCCACATGGTTGTGCTTGACCCCCTCGTCCGTGCGGGGCTCGCCCCACGTGCGGATCACGGCGTTGTGGTCCTCGTCGTCGTTCACGGGCACGGAGTCGTGCACCAAGTTGCCGATGATCTTCACTCGCGCGTCCACCTCCTTGCGCTTCTCCTCCACCTCCACCGCCTTGGCCTTGATCGCCTCGTCGATCGACTTCACCTTGGCGATCTCCTCCGTCGCATCTTGCTTCGCCTGCGGGAAATGTAAAGACAGAGTTAATAAAAATGAATAAAGCGAACGAATCAAACACATTTAAGCTGCAAACAACACATCAAAGGGGGAAAACTGCTAACAAACTACTAAAATCGCATTGTTCGAGCAGAGACAGGAAGCACCTGAAACACAAGCACTCACGATCTTCTTAGCGGCGACTTCCTTGTTTGCCTTGTTAAAATCCTTTCGAAGCTGATCCAGCTGGAATTGGCCTGAAGAAATAAGTAAAAAAAGGGGAAGATGACCAACGAAATTATTGAAATAAACTGGGATAACAGAAGACCTACTCCAACCGGAGACGAAATCGACGTCTTCATAGCACGAGAAAGGCATTAACGACTGTGAAACGAGGAGACAGAGATAGTCATTGCAGTGGTTTTCCTAACCGATCCATGAACTGGCATTCACGCAAACCATGAACTCACATTCCCGCCATTCTTTGTCCAGAGCGATCACTTCGTCAACCAGCTCCACTTTCGCATATCTTCGCCGTTGCGACTCGCGAATTATCTCTGGATTCCCGCCTTTCTCCGCTCGGAACAAGTTAATGTCGAGCATCTTCAACTTGCTTGATCACAGACCACTTTCAGCAGATCGGACTAAGGAACTATCGGTATTATCGTACAATAGTACTATAAGCTTCTGCACAGACCGCGTCGGATGTCAGGCCTTCAGCTCAGAACGGAGATAGAAGGCTATCAGGTGATCCAAGGAGCAGCCAGAAACTGGAAACCAGATCAGGATGGATTTGTTTGATCTGAGCTGGGAAGGCTGGGGCTGGAGAAACTTGGAAGCAAATGTTGCTGAGGCTGGCTCGGCAATTTCAAGGGACAGGAAGAGCGAGGGGCTTGGGGTTTTGGTTTCCTTCTGGTGGTGCGGTGTCGGTGTCTCAGGATGATCTCGAGAAACCACAAGCCCGCTTCTCTGGCGAAAGATTGCGCGAACAAAGCGACATTCAACGAAATCAGCCAAGTTCTTCGTGGGCGATTATGTGTGAAAACATTGTAGAAAGAACAGGTCCTCATTATCAAATGTAAAAGTTCCTCGCCCTAACAAAGTCGAGAATGTTCGTTGTTATTCGACAAAAATATGCTAATCCTCATACCGCGACCCCCATCGGCCCTGCACCAATGACCAACAACACAGCATAAGAAATGCACAAGGTTCAAATCTCTGAAAAAGGCAGTGCCTCCCCAAGGTCCCAAAGAGCACGCCAGCTGAAAGAAACTCCCGCTTTCCAAAAAAAAACAGCATCCAACAAGCCAAGCCGGACACACCTGAGCGTGTGCAGGCCCCAAACCAATCAATGCCCTCCTCGTTCCACACGCCCCTCATTTCCTCCTTCCATCTCATTCAAATCAGGCAACTTACGTCCCGCCACCCCTTTCCCTCCCTCCGTTGCAGCTTCCTCTGCCTCTGCCGCCTCAGCCTCTGCAGCAGCAGCTATAGCATCAAGCCCCAAGCTCATCCCCTCGCCCCCTCCCTCTCCCCCTCCCTCTCCCCCACTCCCACCTGTTTTCTCACCCTCACTCATCCTTGTATGGCCGTTTCCTGCGCCCTCCTCCCTAACATCACCATGTGCATCACCTGACCCTCCCTTACCCCCTCCTGCAGGCCCTCCTGCCCCCGCAACCGCCCCTTCCCCTTTATCCTGGTCCATCTTATCTCCCTCCTCCGCTCCATTCCGCTCCTTTCTCCGCTCACTCAACCCACCTGCTCCTCCTCCCTCGCCTCCTCCCTCTCCTCCCCTCCCCTCCTCTCCCCCTCCCTTCTCCTTGCTCCCGGTTTCCTCCTCATCCTTCCTCCCCCCTTTCTCCCCATCATCCTCCCGCCCCTTCTCCTTCCTCTCCTTCTCCTCCCTCCCCTCTCCCTTCCCTCCTCTCTTCTTCCTCTCCTCTCTCCCCTCCCTCCCATCGTCGCTCTTCGACACCTCCTCCCCAGAAACCGACGAGTGGTCGTTCCTCCGCTTCTTGCCTTTCCCCGACGAGGCATCACTGGTGGACGACGACCGCGACGGCGACTCCCCCCTACTCTTCGACCTCGAGCTCCTCGACTTGTCCGATTTCGACTTGGAAGATTGTGAAGACCGCGAAGATTTCGATCTCGATCTAGATCTCGAGGATCTCGACTTAGATCTCGATCTCGATCTCGATTTGGAGGATCGTGAGGAGCTCGAGGACCCACTCCCCACCGACCGGCTACTACTCGATCGCTTCCTCCTCCTACTCCGCTCGCCTCCCCTCTTCTCACCCCTCCCCTTCCTCCGCACCCCGCTGTCGCTACCACTGGAATCGCTCCCCCCTTTCCGCCCTCCTCTTACCTCGTCTCGTCCCTCTGCCTCCTTCTCCCTCCCGCCGCGCCTCCTGCCCTCCTCCTCCCTCTCCTCACTGCTGTCCCCGTCCCTAGCCTTGTCCTGCAGACAGTCACCCATTAGCCGGAAAACAAAGAACGGGATAACACTAAGCGTTCTACACATTAGTATACATATTCACACAAGTACATCTAATCAGTAGCTTTGCACACAACCGTATGCACCTCCATGTACGCCTTGAGCGTCTCGTCAGCTCAACATTGAGTGCCTCCTCTGTTTACACCTACACCAGAAATGATACCTTACTGCATGAAACCACATGTACCTTTATGCATGAAACCCCATGTACCTTCACGTATGTCTCCAACTCATGATTGTGTACCTCCTGAATGTACAGTCAAACCAGAATTAACGTGAGGAGTCTAATTTTGAGGCGCATCAAAATGTCTCCAACTCATGATTGTGTACCTCGTGAATGTACAGTCAAACCAGAATTAATACCTTTATATGGATGAAACTCAGTGTACCTTCATGTATGTCTCCAGCTCATTATTAAGCGCCTCCTCTGCCGCCCTCCCACTTGCCTTGGAAGCAATGCGCCGCCCCTCGCCCCCGGTCCCTGCCACTGCAATCCCCGCCGCCCCCGCCGCCACCGCTGCTCGCTCTGCAAACCGCCGCGACCGTGCGGGACACTGCATAGGCAGACGCGGGGAAGGAAGGGGGGATAATAAAAGGGGGGGAAGGGAAGGAGGGGGGGTGGGGAAGAGGAGGGGGAAGACGAAGGTGCGCGTAAGATAACTGCTGTGGAGGGGAAAGGGCGGGGAGGGAAAAGGGGGTGGGGGGGGGGTTTGGGTGGGGGTGGGGGGAGAGAGGGGGGGGGAGGAGGGAATAGAAGGACAAAAGGCCGAGCTAGCACCACACAACTAAAACAATTTTGCGAAGCACCGCACACACCATCCGCAAGTGAGCCCCGCAGGAGTCAACCGCGCCGTACCTCTCTCGCGAAGTGCCCCGGCTCGCCGCACTCATAGCAGCCGTCGCCCGCCGGCCGCACCACCTGCGGCGGAAACCCCGTCCCTATGGGCGCGCCAAACGCCGCAATCCCTGGCGGAAAACCCGGGCGGAACGCGCCAATTCCCCCCGCCATGCCCCCCATCCAGCGGTCCTGCATGCCCGGGCCTAGCCCCGCCGCCGCCGCTGCTGCCGCCGCCATTGCTGCTGGGGGCATCATTGGCGCTCCGCCGCCGAATTTCTCCGGGCATTCCCGCGCGAAATGCCCCTTCCTGCCGCAGTAGTAGCACCCGTCCTGGCCAAACTCCGAGCCTGGGCCGAACCCGGGCCCGGCTCGGCCCGAGCCTAAGGCGCCGATGGGGGCACCGAGAGGTGGTTTGGCGGGGCAATCCCGGGCGATGTGGCCCACTTCGTTGCAGACGTAGCAGCGCTGCTCTATGGGGCCGTCGGGATTGCCCTGCTTGAACTGACACTGCAGCGGTTCAAACGGGTGAAAAGGGGTGAAGAGGGGTGGAGAGGGGGACAGAGAGGCTTTATCGCTTCGGAAGATGTGGCCCACTTCGTTGCAGACGTAGCAGCGCTGCTCTATGGGGCCGTCGGGGTTACCCTGCTTGAACTGACACTGCAGGCGTGCAGAGGGGTGATGACGGGTAACAAGGAGTGGAGAGGCGTAAAGAGGGATGAAGAGATGCGCAAGGAGCGGTATGGACACGTGCTGGAAACTGTGCACAAACGGAGGGATAGAAACGCGAGATGGCGAGACGATTGCACGCATTGTCGCTGAAGACCCTTGTCGCTGGAGACCCTTGTCGCAGTGGTCCTTCTAACGGCTCACTGCAGCGCGAAGAACACGGCAAGCGGGCCGTCAGCTCGGGATATTTGGCAGTAATCGCCACCGTGTAACACGGGTTGGGCCTTAAAGCGCCTCGTTAGCCGATTATTCCAGAACACCCACCTTGCCGTGTAGGCTCCTACGAGCGAGGTGCCCACCTCGAGTCGGTAGGCCAGGAGGGCGCCGAAGATCCTCTCCTTCTATCTCAGCGGACTCGTATGCCCCTCTCTCCCCCCCCACCCCCGCCCATCCCCTTCCTCCCCCGCTGCCCATGCTCCCATCTATACCTCTCCCACGCCCTCCTCTTCCCTCCACCTCACTCCACCCCATTCCACTCCCCTCCAGTCCTCTTCACTCCACGCCACCTCACTCCATCCCACTCCACTCCACCGCCTCCAATTTCTCCACTCCGTTTCACGCCTCCTTGGCTTTCCACTTGCGCCTTCAGCCTTCGCCCTCCTCCCCACCCCTCCCTACCCCTCCCTACCCCTCTCCCTCGCCTCAACCTGCCAGTCCACATAGTTTACCAGTCCACGTCGCTTCTCCCCTTTGCTAAACAGCACCCGCGCACCACCCACCTTCGCCGCTGCTTCGCACCGGCGCAAATAAACCTCCGGAGAAGAGAACGTGAGGAAACGCTTGGGTGCACGGCTCTCGCACAGTCCATCCCTCTCCATCCCTCTCCACTCCACTACACCCCAAATCTGCAATATATTATCAGAGTCGGCAACTCCTCCTCCCTCTCCCTCTCTCTTCACCAGAAGAACAAAAAAGGCCGCTGCCTTATCTTCGTCCCACGAGACTATAAAAGATCAACCGGGTCTGATGACGATGGCCAATTTGCTTGGACGAGGCAAATGACGAACAATTTAAAAAGGACGAGGGCAGCAACTTGCGGGAGCCCGCCACAAGGCAGCCACGACGTGAAAGGAGCACAGAAAAAAAAAAAAAAAAAACTTCGGAACAGAAAAAAGAAAAGAACAACGAATAGGTATATGACCCACCGTGAATTTGGAACAACTATACACGGGTGTAAAAATCAGCAGATGCATCTCTTTCCGGCTCTCACTCCGCCACACAGCAGTACTTACCACCCCTTTCCAGACGCACATACCTCCCGTGCCACGTGTCCCCTCCGCCCGCACTCGTAGCACTTGGGCCCCATCCCGTCGTCGCCGAACCTCCCGCCGAACCCGCCTCGCGCGCCGAACTTGCTCGGGCACTCGCGCGCCCAGTGCCCCACGCCGCCGCACGCGTTGCACCGGTCGCTCATTCCCGGACCTCCTCCCGGGCCCCCCATCCCGCGCGGACCTAACGGCGGACCTCCCATCCCCATGGGCCCGCCGCCGCCGAACCTGCTGCCGGCCACGCCACCGTACCGGTCGTCACGTTCGCGATCGTACCGGTCGTCACGATCACGGTCGTACTTGTCGTCACGGTAAGCGCCGCTGCTGCTCCGGCCAGCGGAATCGTAACGGTCGCTGAATCCTGAGACTCGATCTCGACCGTCGCCTCTGTCGCGATCTTTCTCCCTTTCGCGAGAAGAATCCTTCTCACGATCGCGGTCGCGATAGCTGTCCTTGTCCCTGTCCCTGTCGCGATCGTACGATCGGCCGGCGTCTCTGTCCCGTTCGCGCTCCCGGTCCCTTCCGGCGAATCCGGACCGGTCCGTCACACCGTAACGGTCGCGATCCCGGGACGCGCCGGCGAGAGAGTCAGATCGGCGAGGCGATCGGGACCGTTCGCGATAGGAGGCATGAGCGGATGGACGGTCACGATCTAAGGAATCGTAGCCGCTGCGAGAGGGAGGCTGTGAGTCGAACTGGCGGACGGAGTCGTAGGGTGAGCGGCCATAACCAGATGCCATGGTCTTAGCCTTCGCTGAGAACGTAGATCCTGAGAATATGAAACCGTGAAGGTTGAAAATCGGCGAAATTAAAGACTAAGATGCGAATAAGGATCTGACGTATGACGGTCACAAACGCCGCACAACAGCAAGAAGATCCCTCAGCCTACTAGACTTCGTGCTGGTAGTTAGAGAACATCTCACCAACCCCCGAGCTTCAGATTGTGCTGCTGCTAATCATTCAAAATTTGACGGAGTAGTAGACATTCACGAATCACGAAACCCTAGGTTTCCCTCCTGACTGCTGGAACAGAAATGCGCGGGAAACATTACCCAGGTGGTGCTCCACCGTCGAAAACCGTTTCTATTTTGTACACTTTCTCCTGCCAATAAGTTACGATCTGTCCATGCAACTTGGACTTAGAAATGAATTCACCAACAAATTCATGTTTGTCCCTTCACCGTGGGAGTTCTAGGGCAAGTCTTCTGAAACCATTCAATTAATTTATTTATACCATGCAAACTGTAAAGGAAAGAGAGTCACAAACCAACGAAAGAAGGCATTATCAAACCTCCTCGGCTAGTGGAACCCTTTCGCTTGAAAGAGGAAGCTAATAGTGGGCTCGGCATCGAATCAACACTGAGAAAAACTCCCGATCCACATTCTTGCTTCGACCTTGGACATGAAACCCACAAGATCACCCAGAGGTCTAGCAATGGCACAACCAGCAGCAGCTGCAATTGTGCCCTTGATAGCTGAATTCCCCTCAGTGTGCCTCTGAATGCTCATGAATAGACAAGCGTGCAGGGTGGATGGGCATCAGGAGTTGTTGCAGGAGAATGAGATTCCGGAGAATGAGATTCCGCGGCCATCTCAAGTGACGACGGCTGAGAGGAGGCCCCACCGCTACCAACACTTCTGCATGGAGCAGCATCTTGCTGGTGGCTCGCCGTGCACTTGTCACCCTCCTCCACACGCCCGTTTTCTTCACTCTGGCAATCCGACGGATGAGAACCTTTCATCAGCCGTAGCTGTTTCAGTTCTTGCTCCAGCGGCTCGTTCCGCTTCCGGAACCGCTTAAGCTGCTCAGCCGCCTCTGCCAACCGTCGCTGCACAGTGGCGTTCTCCAGCTTGAGCTTCGCTGACTGAATCTCGAGCTCTTCCAGGCGATTCTGTCGCCGCTGCCGCGCACGCCTCGCCGACGCACAGTTTGCCACCTTGCGCTTGCGCTTCCTCTCTTCCATGCTGTCGTCTCCAAGCGATGTGTGAACACCGTGATTACCGCTCATGCCGAAAGCAGCGGATGGCTCTGCGCAGTAGACCAAACCGGCACCACTCCGAGCGCCACTGCTGGTGCCACTCCCAGGACCACTGCCGGCACTTGCGCAGTTGTTGTGTGAATTGCCTATTGCCGATGGGGCCTGTGAGAGGCAGTGTGACACCCGGCGGCGGCCAGCAGCGGGCGTGCAGTGTGCCGTGACTCCCGGCGCCGCCTCGGCATGGGAGAGGTTTTCACTGACCACACGCAGCGCTGTCATATGAGTTGGCGGGAGCGGGGTCCGAGTCGGGGTCGGCGGAAGGACGATGCTGGGCTCGAGGGGGGTTTGCTGCCGGCTCGGGAGGAGGACGCCGGGATCGAGGGTAGCCTTCGGCTGCTGCTGTCGTGGCTGCTGTTGCAGCTGATGCTGTTGCGGCTGGTGTTGTTGCGGCTGATGCTGCTGCGGCTGGTGCTGTTCCGGTTGATGTTGCTGTGGCTGGTGCTGTTGCGGCGGCAGCACGGCCTGCTTTACGAGGGATTGGAGCTCGTTCCAAGCCGACGCAGCGTTGACATCGCTGATCACCGCGCCCATGGCATTGTCAAACTCCGCCTGGTGCTGAAGGTGCTGCTGATAACACTGCTGCTGCTGCTGTTGCTGTTGCAGGAGTGCCTCGTTTTGCTGTGTTCTCAACAACTCAGAGGGAGCTGGAATACAAGTGGAGACTTCAGCAGAGCCAGGAGGAGAGCGCGGAGCGACGGGTGCTTTATCTGTCGCGCGGCACCTCTTGCTGAGCCTGTTAAGAATTACAGAGAAAATGTGTGAGATCATAGGTGACATCAGCCTGTTTAAGGGACAACTTTCTGATTTTAGGAGAAAATGCGGGAATTGCTGCAGAAAAAATGCCATAAAAAATAATGCGCAGGCAATGTAGGGCTAACTCGACCTACCAGTCGCATATGTTTGCTGGACGGTATGACGACTTCGGCTGGCGACTTGCCGTAGCCTTCTCCGTCACTTGCGGCGTCAACTGCGGGACGGCTGCGGCGACCAGAGTCTTTGGAAAATCACAGCTTGGACGCTGGTTCGCCTGCGTCAAATTTTGACTCGGAGTCGACTCAAACGCGTTTGCCTGCGGCGTCGCGGTGATGCTGCTCGAGGCGACGAGATCGCTGAGCGACCATGGCTGCTCCGCACGATGGGTCATGCTGGGAAAATCCGCATTTAATAGGGACTGGAAAGAAAAGTCGCCGGAATATTCTTCACAGTCGAACGCGGCGCTTTGAGCGAGAAACTGCGTGGCGTTGGCTGCCATGAGGTTTGAAGAGAAGGGATCAGGCGAAGGATGACTCTGTTCCATTGTGAGGTATGCTGGCAGCTGGCGGCGGAAACGGGAGAAGTCCAAAAGAATCACGAATCTGAGCAACTTCGAATGTTCGAATTGCAGAAGCACGTACTACAAACTCTACAAACGCGCGGAGTGGCGAGGTGGAGAAGTTGGAGAAGTTGTCAAATTATTGTCGCCGAATGGAAACTGCCACTTTTCTGAATGCTAGTACAAGTACGTGCTAGCGCTTTTTCTGGTGACTTGCACCCAGCAGCATTATTGGTGAGTGAGGGCGTATCTAAAGTGCTCCGGGTCACGTTAGTACCAAGTCGCGTTACAAAAATACTTCATGCACGGCCATTTCATACACCCGAAACTCGACTCCGAACCTATGTCCATTGTGAGGAATCGAATTTCTGCGTACTGGGTTCGTAAGCGGATCGTGCGTTGTCTCGGAAAAGGCACATATCTATGGGGCAAATCGCAACTTCGTACACAACAGCACTGAAAATTTATGTAATGTGGTTTGGACAGTGCCGGAATTTGCAGATTCTGGATTTCGTCACTGAAAGTGACGTGAGTGCGCCCTTACAGTAACTCATAACGAGATTCAACCTGTGCCAAAATTCTCTCGCAGCACTTTGGAAATGCCCTGAGACACGGCAGTTCCTTTGCCCTCTGTTTGTGAGAGGGGGGTGGGGGGGCGGGGGGCGGGGGTGGCGGTGACTTACGCCGGGTTGTGTTGCAAGGGCGGTCTGGGTTGCAAGGGAGGGACGCGGGTAGTTGGCCCACTAGTGGTGACGTGACCGTGACATACGCCTGGAGAGCATGTTCGGCTTGGGAAAAGCTACGCTGGCAAATCGCTAGCATTCTGGGAGGCCACTGATTGGCTGCCCAGCGACAGACAAAGCCTGGGTGTCAAATCAACTGGTTTGGGTGACTTGCCGAATGTCCAACGGGAAGCTGTAACAGAAAAACGGAACCAGCTTCGGAAACTGGCGTGGTTTTGGTATATCTGCCCTGCACTGTTCTCACTTCAAAATGGGTGGGGGTGTGTGTTGTTCGCACTGTACACCGAGCAAGCCCCGCTGGCTTTTGGTCTGACCAAGCTGTTGTTTTCGTTGTGTTGGACCATCCCATGCGTGTACAAGCCGAGCTCTGCTGTTCTGGTCTGGTCTACACACACCACACGCCACACAAGGCGCCTCGTCCTAGAGGAGGGCCGCTACAAATGCACAATCAGTTGGATTGGATATACAGCCGGTAGCTACGACACTGTACAGGCTGTATCCTCCCTCTGGATGTCCGCGCTCGTGTCAGACTCGTTCTGAGCAATTTCCTTTTGTGCTTCGCATTGTAGGATGAAATCATTTCACCGTCGAGTAAAGATCCTCTCCATAATAGCTGGATTTTTATGCATACATGTCATATGCCCTGAGAGCCCGGGGGGCGACGCGAGAGATTTCGCTTACAACGAATACGGGCCGTACGGTAGGGGCAACGTGGACTATGGGGTTTTCCCAGGAAATGGGGCGGTGTTTTTTGTGTACTGTGCATGGGCGGCTTGACTAGCGTATGCAACGATTGAGTAAACGTCGCAGTGTCGCAAGGCTCTCCACCTGTGTATCAACTTCGCGTTTCAAGCTGGTCCCTCGATAACCTAGGGGTCACCCTGCGTAATCCGAGTTTGCCCAAATCTTCCTGGCTGGGTAGCTCTAAAACTTCTGACTGTTTTTGCAGGCATGAGTTTCTCCCTGCTCAGAATGTGCCACTCCTGACAATGACAGGGGAGCCATTTTTTCTAGGGGTGTGAACTTCTACATTAAAATTTTCAGGGTAAGTCCATCCCCTACTCAAAACTCGGGCGTCGAAATTTCACCATTTTTTTCTTGACAAAGCAGTGTAATTACCATCACTTCCACAGGCCTGGTTTCAAAAGAATAACAGATTCCTTGACGCGCTCCTGGGCGCGTTCCTATTGGTTGTGGTTTGACGGATTTTCTATGGGCGACGCCGACGGATTGCGTTGGCTTTGCAATCGTAATCCTACTGGACCGTCAGCGAGCTGTTGGATTTTTTATTTTTATTTTTCGATATTGGTTAGCGAGCCTGACACATCTGGATTTTCAGAGGCTCGCCGACCACTAGGCGTGGTCGCTCTGAAAGCACAGGAGAAAATGATTGGACGGTTTTACATCATCCGACTTGACTGTTCAGTTGAGACGTGTACACTTTGATTACAAGGAGAGGTCCTTAAGGATAAAATGTCTGTGAGATACTCCAGGGCGTAGAATGAGGTTGTCTACAAGGCATATGACCTGTATATTTATAACACCCAAGTATTATTTTAAATAGTCAGTTTCGTTTGGGGCGGCAGCGATTGTTTGTTATGCGGAGTGACTATAACGCTGCCCGAGAAACCCAATTTCGACAGGACTTGGCCTCCCTGTAACATTACAAACCTAGCCCAAAATTGGGGTGGTTGAAACAAAAAATGAGACTCTAATATGTGCTATTTAATGGAATACTTGGGTCTACATCCATTCAAAGAGAGGGTTGACTGTAGTATGATTTTACAAAGCATCTTACTTTTGATGCTGATGCCATATAATAGCACCGTTCACTAAGTTTTACCGGGTGTGATTAGAAGCTGGCGAGAAGTGGTATACCTGAAACGACACGAAATGTTAAAATATATTTTATAGCTATATAATTGTAGGCTTGGTAGGTCTTGCTGGATCCTACTGTATACGGTACAACTCCCTCCTTGTATCCCTCTCATAGCCTAAAACCCCTCTCGCCATTCATGGCTTCCCCCCCCTTAGCTAGTTTATCTCAACATGGTTTCAGAGCCGGCGGTCCGCCCTGCTGGGACGCCTCCTCACGCTTCCGCCGCATACCCCCCCCCCTTCTCGTTACTTCCGCGTCGCCGTGGCGGCCGTGTCGTGCTGCCATGGCGGCTTTGTCGCGCTGCCGTAGCGGCTTCGTCGTGCCGCCGTCGTCGCGTCAGCGCACGAGCGGCAGTGGGCCGCGCACTGGTTTAGGCACCAGGCAGCAAGCCCGCACTCCAGCTCGCTGCGCCTCCCCAACTCGTCGTGTCGGACCCTGCTCGCCGCGTCGGACCCAGCTCGCCGCATCGGTCCCAACTCGCAGCGTCAGTCTTAGCTCGCCACGTCAGCTGGCTCCGCCCCGCCGCAGCTCAAGAAGGCCTAGCACCCTCCTTCCCTGCAGTCACCTTTGCTGCAGGGTATGGGGGTGCTAGGCTTAGAGATGTTGCATGTGGGGTGGGCTTGTGACTACCAAGCCTAGGGGGTGTGTTCAATTATATTTTATAGGTATATAATTGTAGGCTTGGTAGGTCTCGCTGGATCCTATTGTAGACGGTACAACTCCCTCCTTGTATCCCTCTCTCTAATCTCTACCTCTTTTCTCTCGACATTACTCTCCTAGCCTAAAACCCCTCTCGCCATACATGGCTCCCCCCTCTTAGCTACTTTATCTTAACACGAAAAGCCAAGAGATATGCGATATGGAGTCAACAAACACCACTATGACCAGGGCTGACGTTTCAAAAAAAGGCACTCTGAGCTAACCCCCCCCAAAAAATAATTAGTCTGAAAGGTCTTCAGCCAAAATTTAGGGACTCTGAAATGTCAGAGTCCGGAGATGAGCAAGTCTGAAATCCTCAGGATCGCGCAAGTACATTCAGGGTTACTACAACTTACATGTTATTAAGAAGCCTTCTTGTATCTTATATTTTCCTACACTGGACAGGAGCCTACAACTATCGTACTACTACTACCAGTCTACCACCAAGCAATCACTAACTAACAAGCTCCTAGAACTCCGGCGCATCCACTGTAATCTCATCATCACCCCCCTCATTGTCTGACAGGAAAGGGTCGTCGTCTATTCTTGGAGCCGCATCATCCTCATCATCACTCCCATCCTCCTCAGCCCGCCCCTCCCCCATGTACTCT